ACGTCATATACTACGCAGTTAGAAAATTCTAGAACAGAATGAATCATCTACTACGCAGTTAGGTATAGAACAAAGAGAACTACGCAGTTACCATGACCTTGAACAGGTTCAGACCTGTCAGATGACGTCATCTACTACGCAGTTAAAAGTAATGCAAGCTGCCACCAGATGACGCTGCGTAAAATCCCTCTCGCAAGTAGTTGTCATAACTTCATTTTAAATATATAAAACGTGGATATATCATACCCCAAATGCGTAATCCTGAACTATTGATTTGTAATGGCAAGCCTAAAGCAGATTAATAGTTGAGGATGCTTTTTTCTAACCTCAAAATGTTGAATTCAGATTCAAAATGGTGGAAATCATATTCAAAATGGCGGATAGCAGCCACCAGATGGCGGATTCACAACTCAAAATGGCGGAATTCAGACTCAAAATGGCAGATTTCAGACTCAGATAGCAGCCACCAGATGGCGGATAGCGAATTCAAAATGGCTGATAGCAGCCACGAGATGGTGGATTCAAATGGCGGATAGATTTAAAAAAATGGCGGGAAAATGGCGGATAGATTTAAAAAATCGCGGATAGTAAGATTTAAAAATGGCAGCAGAATTCACCACCAGCGCCACCTACAACCAAGTCAATAAAAACCTCATCCATAACCTCAAAATATCGGTAAAACAGGTCCTCCATATCATGACAACACCGATTGTTGGTAAAACAGGTCGCCCATATCTACAGATGGTACTTATCATGTACACGAACCCACAAATCTGTTTTACCGACTGAGTAGTATTCCTGTTTACCTACTTACGTCATGACAACAACTGTGTGTTATTCAGTGTGTCAGAGAATTATTGACTTGATGCATTATTATTTTCGTTAATTTAGTGTGAGACTTTTTATTTAAAGTTTTTTGTATATCGTAACGAGTACATGATATTAAATATACATATGTTGATATGCGAGGCATTGGATGATATGACATTAATGCTAAGCGAATTTAGAGGTAATGTTAAATATTATTGTGGTTGAATTTTATAGCTTATATTGTATAATGGATATGTATAATTTTCGAATAGTGTATAATTATGTATATTTATGTTTTGTACAGAGCCTGATGGAGCTGAGAAAATACAGCGAAACGTTGCGACCTAAGATGCAGTAGTATTCTTTCCATTGATCCACATCCCTCTTAAATACTTATATCTTATGTTTAATCTTGGATCTTAACAATCATAATAATTTCATTAATATTATTTATTGCGGATTTATTTATTAATATGACTGCGCGTTTGAGATTGATTTACTCAAAGTAATTTTATGGTATTAATAATTCTAACGTAAAGATAGTTTAATGCAGAATTATTTATTTAGACTGAAATAATTTATTAAATTGAACTTAAGTTCTGGAAATTATCTAGATAATTTAATTCATCATTTTACCGAAAATTATTTGTTAATTATTTATCAGCCTGGATATTAAGTCCAAACATTTATAGTTAGAATTATATGATGAAATTCCTTAAGAATTTATTTTAATTACTATGGTTGAATTTTAATTTAGGATTTGATTTAAAATAAATTTATGAGTTGGATTTAGTTCAGATTTTTAGTGAATCGAATGATCAGTTGGAATTATCATGTAAATTAATTACTAGCTAATGATTGAAAATTTTTAAGTTGAGATTTAATGTTAATATTTTTCTTGAATTAAATTGTTATAAATTTTTATCAATGAAAGTAAAGTAAATTCAGTTTGTGTGTGTGTACGGGTTATGTGTGTGAGCTACAGTGGTTTCTTAGCTTACGTTGCAGTCACTAGGCTCTTACTTCTGTAGCTGTGTGTTATCGACGATCCCTCGTGCACTGCGGTCTTTGTGCAAGATGTTTCGTTAATAGCCAAAAATTTAGTAATACGTTAGTTAGTCAGGTGTTAGTTGTTTGGCTCTGGATAGCCGCCAGTTAGGCTAGACGATCTGTGTCACACTATTCAATAAATTATTTTTAAATTAATTTTTACTATTTTAATAGTAATTAATCATTTATGGAAATTATCATCAATAAACTTTATTGATATTGATCACTAAATAATAAGTTTCGATAAATAAAAATAAGTGAATGATTCAACGCATGCGCAGTATAGGTGTCAATAATTAGGGTTAAAGTATGTCAATAATTAGATCAATCAGTTTTTTAACCTGTCAATAACTGGTGTATTCGGATAATTGATTTGATTATTTAAAATTAATTAATAAATATCACTGATTATTATTTTAAAAAAATAAATTGATTAGTATAAACATTACTTGAGACTTTACTACAAACAAAATTCAACGATATTGATATTTTATCGCTGAAAAAAATTCAAATCATAACTTTGTCTATTATAGTGTCAATAATTGGGGCTTTTATCTTACATGAATAATTCGATAAATATGTAAGAAATTATCAGCAAATAATATATTCAACAACGCAATTTTGACAATATTAAAAAATTCATAACTTAAATACAAGCTCGATTCCCTAGCTCAAATTTTCAGGGCTTCTTAGGAACATAAAAAAGCAACTTTCCTGAAAGTTTGGAGAAAATCGAAGTTCGGAGAAAAAAGTTCTAGCCATCTGAAAACTGCACTTTTTTTAAATTTGATTGGTTTCAGATGGCTATAGCTTCACTTAATAGAAGCAATCAAGTAAAAATTGCATAGATACTACTAAAGTATATATACTTAACCCCAATAGAAAACATTAGCTGCTTGTCGACCCTTAACTTCAAACACTGTACATATACTAGTGTTTTACAAATAGGTAAAATTTAACCAAAACCGTACGTTAGTTAGAGGCTGTCAGCTAAGCCCTATATGAGTTTAGACCAAATGCTTATTTTTAACTTCCCGCTAAGAAAATCGAAGATTTTCACAAATCGGGAAGTTATTGTTTTCACCCCATTTTACAAAAATCGAGTTTTAATCAGATTTCGACGTTTGAAGGTCACAGGAAGCTTTCCTGACTATCCCCGCGATGTTGTCGATATGTCTGTATGTGTGTGTGTGTGTGTGTGTGTGTGTGTGTGTGTGTGTGTGTGTGTGTGTGTGTGTGTGTGTGTGTTGTTTTTTTTTCCCTTTAGGATAGAGAAGCGGAAAAAATCTTCGAAAGACACCGCTATCATTGAAAGATGATGGTCGGTAGTGTGGGATCTTTACCCACTAGAAAAAAACACCTCTCTCTTCCCCCGTGGATGGTACGGAGATGACTGGAACGGAACCGCGTTAGC